GTACTTTGGTTACTGTCTCTGTTGTGGAAGTCATTTTGCTGGTCCAGTGTATGAAATGAAGGACTACCTTGACTGGACGGAGAGAAAAGGCGTACGTTAATATCATAATTATATTGAGTTCTGCACTTTGAATTTCATTACAACTAATAACTACATCCACGTCCTTCCTCCTTTTCAGATCTGGAAATCTACTGAGAAAGGACATCCATCACCTTTTGGGGCAACTTTGAGGGCTCTTCTTCAAGCTGCTTTTTGTATGGGGTTGTACCTCTACTTGGTGCCTCTTTACCCACTTACCAGGTTCTCTGACCCACTATACCAAGAATGGGGTTTCTTGAAACGGTTGAGTTACCAATATATGTCGGGATTTACTGCCCGGTGGAAATATTATTTTATCTGGTCAATCTCAGAAGCCTCTATCATTATTTCTGGCTTGGGGTTCAGTGGTTGGACAGACTCTTCTCCACCAGAACCACGGTGGGACCGTGCAAAAAATGTTGATGTATTGGGTGTTGAGCTGGCAAAAAGTTCAGTTCAGTTACCTCTTGTATGGAACATTCAAGTCAGCACCTGGCTGCGACACTGTAAGTAAATTTTCTTCTAATCATTTAACACACCGGCTTATAACTTCTAGCATAGCCATTGTCGCTGCATTAAAGAATGTAAAATTTGGTCAACGAAAGGCATTGTATTTGTTGACAAGCTATTAATTTGAATATACACAAACTTTACAGTTACGTAGTAGAGAATTTTCTGTTTGTGTATGACAGCTAATCATAATGAAGGAACACTCAAACAAAATCCATTATCAGCCTATTTCAAGTATTTCAATGCTACTCATTTATTGTGGCGTATAATGTTGTAGGCATATTTACTTAAGCTCTTAACAGAATAATAGGGTATAAGGAACAAATGTTCATAGCTTCTTCAAGCTCACATAAAAGTCAATATTGAGGGTGTACTAGCTTTGTTTCATCTGCTTGACCAATTATTCTTTGAAGCTTAACGGTGGTTATCTTTGCCCTATCATTTATCAGTGAACTTTGACTTTCTGATACAGACAGGAATTTGGTGTGCCTTTTCTGTATGGCTTAAATCTATTTTGCCTTTTATAATTTTTTTGTGCAGATGTATATGAGAGGCTCGTACAGAAGGGAAGGAAGCCTGGTTTCTTCCAGTTGCTGGCTACACAGACTGTCAGTGCTGTATGGCATGTAAGTGGATCTTTTAGCACCATTGCTATTGCAAGTTCATTTAATAACTTTTGAAATGTTGATAACTTATAGGGACACATTTACATAATCTATATTTGACTAAACATGGTCTCATGCATTGGTGGTTGGTTTTGTCGATATGTGGTGTGACAATATTGGAGAAATGAGCTTTACATCGTTTTTCCAGTTCAGCTGTTTTAACTTTTGTCTTCTGAACTGATGTTTGCTTGACATCTTGCCATGGTAAAGTTCAATAGTTGCTCCTTTGTTTGCGGTAATCCTACGCTTGGCTGCCTGCTTCACTGGAAAGTGACCTATGGACAATGTTTAATGTGTTATTAATGTGCTCATCCAGTGTCTGATGGTTCATAGAAGAATTTAATCTAATGCGTATCTCAACAGTGCAGTGCACAATTTTCCTATGAATGCAGGATTTTTAATCTCTAGCACCAAAAACTATAAAGATATAGATTAACTTATGAAATCTTCTGAGGAAAAACTTAGGAAACATATGGGCGAGCTAAGGAGGCTGATATGCATAGGAAAAAATGGTTCTTTAAGGCTGTTTTAGGGGCTGGACGGAATGTGAGGAAGTGCAGAAGCTGTGAGGAGGATAAGCAGAGAATAACAGGACTAAGATAGGACTGAAAAAAGGAGGAAAGGAGAGTAAAATAGGGGGAGAGAATCATTAGATACTTCTGAAAATTGCTTAGTTCAAATCTGCTTTAAACACACGAGGAAGAATATGCTTTTATGGGGAAAACTTGCTAAGGATACAGCAGAGAATCAAATCTCTTCACAACTTCCGGAAAATACCAGTAATATTTTGAATATCTGAAATTACAGCTTGATTCTTGAGGCTGTTTATTAGCTTTCAGTTACTTGTTGACCACACTTTGGGTGACTTTTCTGTGTGTATTTCACTATTCTCTGCTGTCCAAGCTTCAACTAAATTTCAGAAAATTGGAAAAAGACCTAAGGGATACCTAGACACGTACTAGAACGTTAGAGATAGATTGATTCAAATATTCCTATCGGCGTAAATGCAAGCACACTTGGAAAAGAAATGAACTTGACTGCAGAATCCTTCTGATTGACATTATGAACTTCAAATACAATTCAACTTACTTTGTGGTATTCCTCAAAGTTCATGGACATATCTGTACCATTTTGAACTTCAAGTTGGGTAATACACTCAATAGTACACTTTGAGGCCCTCTTTTCTGTAATAATTTTCTTTTTGATATAAAAAGAGTATTCAATTAATGTTACACCAGGATGGTGTTATTTTTGCACATTTCTTGAATTTGCAATAAATACTCTGCTTCCTCGAAGTCTGCCGTCTGCAGTTGCAGCCTTGCGTATTATCCATTACTTGTAGCAACATGATAGTCTGACTAATGATATAAATTCATTGCCTGACATCTCAGGGATTATATCCGGGGTACATTATATTCTTTGTTCAGTCCGCTTTGATGATTGCTGGATCAAGAGGTATCTATCTGGAAATTCTAGCTAAATTAGGCAAAATTAGCTTTGATTTACTTTTCTTCTAATCATGTTTTGCCTATCACAGTCATTTACAGATGGCAGCAAGCTACAAAAGGTACTTTGTTTGAGAAGATACTAGCATTGATGAACTTTGCATACACACTGTTGGTTCTAAACTACTCGGCTGTTGGCTTCATGGTTAGTAGTATATTTCTCAGAACATACTTTGCTCGAGGCTAATATCATTGATATAATCTGACATAGGTTTTCTTGCTCGCGTGTTACAGGTATTAAGTCTGCATGAAACACTCACTTCTTATGGAAGTGTGTACTATATCGGAACCATTATACCGATTGTACTAATCCTGCTCGGTAAAGTGATTAAGCCAGCAAAACCTGCAAGATCTAAAGCTAGAAAAGAAGAGTGAGTTCTATCATGCTTCTCGAGATTGGTTGCTTAGATTTTTTTGTTGGAGAAATAGCGCTTTGCTTCCGCTTCTTTTATTTGTTTTATGAGTCTGAAGAACATCTGTTTCTGATTGCTGGTAAAGCAATTTGTTTGGGCACAATAGGACCTCTAGCATTGTTCCTTCCAATTAACTGGCTGCAAAAAGTCATGTAGCCAACTGTTAAGCATCTTGAAATTTTTTTGGCATCGTTCATCCGATCTTTTTACAGAACGTATAATATAACATAACTTGAAAATTAGTTCCAAAGAAAACTTGACCGTTATAGTAAAATGTTTTATAGATGATGACTGTATAGAGATGTATGATTGTAGTTTTTTTTTTATATTAAGTTCGAACCTATAATCTAAAAAGGAGTAACACTGTAATGAGTTTTAGTAACTTCGTGATGAGTTATACCCCGCTAGATACTACTAAAACTCGAGACCTTTGGTTACCGACTCAGAGGAAGACAACTTTTATTTATTTTTCTTTTTCTTGAAATCTTTTTGGGCATTTGGCTGGCTCTTTAAAATTGTCTCATATCTACTGGTGGAATAGTTATGTGGCTCTCGTTCCACAAGTTTATTTGTTAAGAGATTTTGTAAGGTTAAAGTTACTTAAAAAGGAGCGAGATTATTAAACTTTTGATTCGCTATCAAAAAAGAGAGGTGAATTTAAGCTATTAAAAGAGCAGTCTAGTGCACAAAGCATTCCGCGTTCACGCAAAGTTCGGGAACGGCCAAACTCCAAAGGGGTGTGATGCAGACAGTCTACCCTGATATAAGCATCAATGGCTGGTTCCATAGCTCGAACCCGTAATCTATAAGTAGAGGTGGCAAAATGGTTAAAAAAAAACTACCCATATTATCCACTAAATAATGGGTTGGATAATAAACTTTTTAAAAACGAGTCAAATATGGATAAGAACCATATTATTCATTTAGAAAATGGATAACCAATGGGTAATTAATAGATAATCAATGAATCTAACTTTTACATTTGTAAAGCCTCAAATTGGGGGTTCCTCAAGTTAGGAAGACTAAGAATTAATATGGTTACCCATACTATTCGTCGGTTAACCCGTTTTTATCCGTATTAAATATGAGTTGGGTCTGATAATTGATCCATTTATTTATTACCAATTTTTGACCCGAACCATATCTGACCCGATCCGTCCGTTTGTCACCCTTACCTATAAGTCACACGTAAACAACTTTACCATTCTCCTCTCCTCTATACATGTTGGTTTAAAAAATTGCAGCTTCTTTTTATTCGTCCAATTTTCGGTACTTGTTTTCGGGTCCGACCAATTTGAATTTCTGCTAGAAAGTCTCACCGTTTAGGAGCTAAAGCTCTCCATAACAAATACAACTCTATTCTTAAGGCATAAATTTAAGACCTTTGGTTAAGGACGGAGGTGTACTTACCGCCCCATTGTAACCTTTAGTCGTGCGTCTTCAAATCATGCTGCACTTCATTAACAAATGCGTACCTTATCAAAGACGCGCGACTATATTTTTAGCATTTGAACCAAAGATCTCTGGTTAAAGATGAAAAAGTACTTACCATCTCACCGTAACCTTCAGGGGTTGTTTGATAGCCAGTTAGGGAAAAAGTTATTCATGTATTATGGGTAACATAACTTATACCATGTTTGGTAGTCATTAGTTATTTTGTACAAAATTCAGCATAACTAATACCATGTTTGTTTGGCATTTTACAATTCTACATAAATAATACATGTATAAGTTATGAGTCAATCTGTGTATTATTTTATGCGGGGTTGAAGATGATAACTAATACATGGATAAAATACTCAAATGACAAATTTACCCCGATCAATTTACCACAAATCATTGCCATTTTCTCCTGTAAATAACTATCTTGTGCTATGATGTTTTTGAATTACTAAATAAAGTGTATAACAATATAGCAAAAAATTCAACCAAAATCCAAGAAAGAATTATATACACTACAATTAGCATGTCCCTTTTTTTTATTTTTTTATTTTTATATTTCACGTGCAGGACTAATCCCTGCATAATTAATACATACATAACTAACCACTGTACTACTTATTCCTGCATAACTGATATATGCATAATTAATACATGTATAATTAATACACGCATAACTCTAACCGTCAACCAATCGACCCCTAGTGGTGCGTCCTCAAATCATGCTTGAGTAACTGTACCAACTTCATTAATCAAATTAGTTTTTAAATAAGTGAAATTACTTGACTTAGAGATAGACATGTTTTATTATTTGACCAAAAGAAAGCACGCAACATGCCTTTTCTGCTTCCTCGCCATTTTCTAATTTTTTTATGATTGCATTTATCAAATAATATTGCATCAATTCATCAACTATGGTCAATGTCCCATATCATTTTGATATTAGGAGCGGATTTAGAAGATTAGTTACGAGTTCACGTGAATCTAAAACTTTTACTCAGAACTTGTATATATATTAATTAAAAAATCTATTATTCGATCGCAAACCCGATTGTTATTATAGATATACTAGTATATATTAACTTATAAGCCATTTCTCTATTAGTTTAAAACAAGTATAATTATATCTCGCTATAATAACATCCTTATATAACAATCATTCATTATAAAAATCAAGTTTTTTTATGGAATCAATTTTTATATTATATTGTAATATATGTTCTTTATAACAGTACTTCACTATAACAAACAAACAAAATCGGAACAAATGAAGTCGTTATAGAGAGATTTTCCTGTAGCTGTATTTAAAAAAGTGATACTGAAGCTGTCAAATAACAAGACATCAAAGATATATGTTGGAGCACAAAGTTAAGACTTTTGACAATGAATTGTATATATTTTTCTGGTCAACAAATTAAGGTAATCCATTAACATTAATGCGCACCATTATAATTAGGATTATACATGCACCTATATATCAACTTTGACATAGATTTCTATGAAGTATCGTATTTTTCCACTCTTTTCACACTTAATATAAGGTAGCCACATATATCCAATTTCATGCAAAAAATATATAAAAAAAAGAACAACGTGCAACATGGCTGCCATAAATTTACATGTTTGCACAGCATGTATATTGTGTTGTTGTTGCACAACATGTATATTTTGAGCCGATGGCCTATCGAAAACAACCTCTCTATGTCTTCGGGGTAGGAGTAAGGTCTGCGTATACACTATCCTTTCCAGACTCCTCGCCTATGGGATTTTACTAGGTTGTTGTCGGTGGCGAAGCCACATGGTTACAAAGGTGGTCAAAAGACCACCCTTCGTCGAAAAATTGCATTGTGTATATAGATAAAATATTACATTTTAGAGGTATATAACATGTATTGAACACCCTTTGTCGGGATTTTTTTTCTTCACTTTTTTCAAATTTGAATACCTTTGAATAAATTCTTAGCTTCGCCACTGGTTGTTGTTATTATTGTTGTTGTTGCACAACATGTATATTGTGATTATTTGATGATCGACTTTGTCTTTAGCAGAGGCGGAGCCAGAATTTAAAGTTACAGGGTTCGAAATTCTAGTTCTTTTAAGTTACGAAGTTTTAAATTAAAAATTTATACATATTCAATGAATTTCTTAAGACAAATATAGAAGTTAGACCAAAATTACTTGTTTAGACCAAACCCGTAACATGTATTGTGGCTCCGCCCCTCGCCTTTAGTACACATGAAGCATTTGTGTTTCTCGTATAGTTTAAGTTCTACGCATTAATATATACACAATCAAGTCATGTATAAAATAATTATAAGCAAATTTTATGATAAGCGTTAATTGATAACTTGATAAAATTAGTAACTACTATATTATTGCAAGTTAATTACATGGATAGCGTAATTATTTTGTATTATCAATGTATATATGCATATAAGTTTGACTTTAAAAGAAGAGTTTAAGTTAATACGTTTTATACAATTGACAGTGTAAAGATATATTTATGCAATCAAATCACTTATATATAGTTACAAGAAAAATATTATGTGCTAATCATTTGGTATAACCCGAGCAAAATGATAACTAACCTGCTAATACATGTTAAATTACACTGAAATAAATACTAATAGCTGAGTAAAACAACTTAATTATTTAGCTATCCGTTGGTTTTACTTTTACTCATTCTTAAATCTTATGTCCTACAAACAGTTTATGCTATCACAAAACGAATATATAATTATTTCTATTTAACAATTATAACGATGTGCACATCACTTAATTCTTGATTGAAGATAATGGATAAGTCCATGTTTTGAAAAAAAACATTTATTCTGTTTTCTAGAAAAATAAAATATATTTAAGCTGAAATTTCTTACTTCGACTTTTAAACATAACAACAACGAATGATAATTTTGATCAGCAATGACGCTAGCTATGATTTCGTCTGCATTTTTCATTCACTTATATTATAATAAATAATTAATACAACTCCACAAAATCTGAAGATAATGTTTTTTAAGAACTTATCCTACAGTTATATGTGATACTCCCTCCGGTCTACTTTAATTAATGTTTTTTTTTTCTATACAAATTAAGGAATTCACCTTTTAGTGTTAATTAATAATGAAATTGACCATATTAATCTTAATTTGTTCGTTGAAAATACAACAAATAATAGGCTCTTTATTTCAAGGGTAACTTTGAAAAAAAGAAGTTAATTGATACTTGATGTCTAAAAAAATCAATTATTGTGGATCACAAAAAAAGCCAATAAATCAATTAAAGTGGACTGGAGGGAGTATTTCAAGAGAACGAAAACCAAATCAAGTCTTCACTACAAACAAAACTCCTAATATATTCCATATTGCGAGTTATTTCATGCCATAAATCGACTCGAACACTCAAGAAATATGCTGGATAGGCTAATTCACATCTCTTACAGTCAACATATGAGTCCTTTGTTCGTGGAGTAGAAGCAGTGGCGGATCCAGGATTTTAAAATCATAGGTGTTCGCCGATAAAAATTGTGAAAATAAGAGGAAAAAGAGTTAAGTTGTGGGTGCTCTCTCAATATTTGTCTAAATATTTTTATAATTGCTTATGTATATTTAGTCAATCTCATCAAAGATAATGGGTACTTGACCATCCACAATTGATAATATAGATCCGCCACCGAGTAGAAGCAATTTGTTTAGCCTTACAACAGTGCTGTTTCAGACCAGCTATTTTACGATTACGACTTTTCGGTCTGAATATAGTCGAAAATTAACATTTTCTAACCACTTTCTGACCGTGTCTGCAGTCAAAAAATAGCCACTTTCTAGTAGTGGCCCCAAGGTATCATTTCTAATACATTGGCCGGACATGCTCAAATTGACTACGTACATCTTATACATACACGTATCATAAATCTTTACTGAATGCAATATTGGGTCCATATGTTTTTTATATACGTATTATATCAAAAATACTAGATTCGATCGAACGCTACATCCGCCTCTATAATATACATATTGTGGTGTTGGTTTGGTAAGGGACCATATCCTTTCTATTTATGGGAGTCTTATAAAATGCCAAATTCAGGTAAACTAAAGATGCCAAAATCCAAAATCATAATTTAGACTATTCAAAAAGAAGAAACAATATACTTTTAATGAAGACAACTTATAAAAGAACAGAACAATATGGTCGTTTACTTGGTTACGTAGCCGGCAGTTGCAAATGTTGAATAATCTATCTAAATTTTCCAATTTTTATGCCTCATATTCTAAAAAAAGATCTCAATATTTTGACAAATTGAAAATTATTTTACTTTTAATTTTTGTCTTTTAGTTTATAAACTTCAAAATTCATAAGCTTAATATGTCATTGTAATGACTTAATCTACTGTCATTAATTGGTTACCACCTCGTTCCAATTTAGTCTTTAAACTATACAATTGACTTTTCTAAAGTCAAAACAATTTATTTTTTTCAAAAAACAAAAGAAACTCCACCTTGTTCCTATGATAATAACTAATTATGCTACCACCGGGAAAGGGAGCCTTGGCGTAATTGGTAAAGTTGTCTCCATGTGACCAGGAGATCACGGGTTCGAGCCGTATAAACAGCCTCTTACAGAAATGTAGGGTAAGACTGCGTACAATAGACCCTTGTGGTCCGGCTTTTCTCCAGACCCCGCATATAGCAGGAGCTTAGTACACCGGACTGCCCAAGCTACAACCAATTTTTTTTAATCGGAGGTCTCGGGTTCAGACATGGTATGAAGAACCTCTAGTTAATAGTCGCTTTATTCCATTTAGACAACCTATCCTTTGCAAATTTGAACTAGTCGAGCTCGTGACATTAAGATACCAGATGATTAAATCGAAAATAATAAAACATATTTTTTTAACACCAAACAAACAAGTCATCACGATTACACAACATCCACGTAACAACACTAAAAATAAATATTAGATTTTAAAAATTAGAGTATGGATTACAAGTCAAGGGACCAAAATTGAAAGAGCAAAAGAAGGACAAAAAACAAAGATTTGACTTCAGAGGTCAAACATTTGATTTCTGTTTGAGAAGGAGGGAACATTAAAACCATGCTAATCAACTTATAAAATATATAGACAACACAAGAATTTAGCACAAAACATGCCTGCTTCCACAATTAATTATATCACAAAAATACAAGGAAAAAAAAGTTCTCTACTAACTCTCTTTGTTTCTGTGTGCGTCTGCATCAAGCTATGTCGCTCGAACTCTTCAAAAATGTCGCCGCGCTTTTGTTCGATCTTCCAAAAATACATTATTGTTAGATGAACTAGCACACATTCCGTCAGCATTCTTGAAGAGTATGAATAGCACAGATATCAAGAACAATAACCAGTATATAACATACTTTTTTTAAAAAGATGAAAGAATAATCAATAAAAATCCAAGAATTGATCAAATTAGACAACACGAGATTTTAGCACAAAATATGCCTGCTTCCACCATTAATTATATCAGAAAAATACAAGGAAAAAATAATCTCTACTAATTCTCTCTGTCTGTGCGTCTGTATCAAGCTATATTGCTCGAACTCTTCAAAAATGTCGCCGCGCTTCTGTTCGATCTTCCAAAAATACATTATTGTTAGATGAACTAGCACACATCCCGTCAGCATTCTTGAAGAGTCCGAATAGCACAAATATCAAGAACCATAACCAGTATATAAAATATTTTTTTAAAAAAGATGAAAGAATAATCAATAAAAATCCAAGAATTGATCAAATTAGACAACACAAGATTTTAGCACAAAATATGCCTGCTTCCACCATTAATTATATCAGAAAAATACAAGGAAAAAATAATCTCTACTAACTCTCTCTGTCTGTGTGTCTATATCAAGCTATGTTACTCGAACTCTCCAAAAATGTTGCCGCACTCTTATCCGATCCTCCAAAAAGACATTACTGTTAGATGATTTAGCACACATCCCGTCAGCATTCTTGAAGAGTCCGAACAACACAGATATCAAGAACAATATCCAATATATAAAATAATTTTTTTTTAAAAGATGAAAGAATAATCAATAATCCAAGAATTGATCACATTACACAATTCAAACAACTAAACTTCCATCAAGCTTTTGATAATAATCAATCGAACATTCTGCAGCTTCTTCATCAATAATAAACTTCTCCTCCTCTTCTTCTTCTTCATTTTCTTGACCAAAATCTCCTTGTATATTTGCAGTTAACTCTTTTGCTCTTTTAGCTTGATCTTCCCAATTTGTTCTTGCCAAAATAATCAACAACATTGTCACTGCACATGAAGCTTGAGCTGCTAATAATCCAATCCAAAGTCCCTCAAAATCGAAACCCCGAAAAAACCCTAAATAAATAGCTATTGGCATTCCAACAAGATAAAAACAACCAAGATTAATATTAGCACCCAATTTAGGTCTAGCTGTTCCTCTTAATACACCACAACCTGTTGTTTGTGGATTATACTTGCCCAAATATTCCTCACTAATATAGCAAATGACAATGCCAATAGTCCAAAAATGAAACTATAACATAGTCCAATAATTGCAGCTATTTTTGCTTGATTAGGCCTATTAGCACCAAGTTCATTTCCAACTCTTGTTGATACACCAAAACTTAAAGAAGAAGGGAAAATGTATATCAAACTTGTTGTTTGAATCAAAATTCCCATTGATGCAACACTTGCTTTAGGGTTTAACAATAATCCACATAATAAAATCATAATTTCATACCACCACCATTCTAAACAAACACTAATACAACTTGGAATGGCTAAATTTAAAAGTGTTTTCCACCCTTTAAAACACTCTTTAGATATCGCGCTCCATGTTTTCTTATGTACCCCTGACACTATAATGTACGCGATTAATGACCCCACAAGATTGAAATTTGTCCAAACCCCACTTAAAGCAACACCCTTAATACCAAGATTAAGGACTATAACAAGAAAATAGTTGATTGGAATATGAACAAGAATCGCGAGAGCAGCACAATACGTTAGAGGCATTATTATCGATTGAGAACGAAGATAAATCCTCAAAGGATGTAAAAACGAGAGAGCAAAAAGATCAGGAATAGAGTAAATAATGTAACTCTGTGCTTGTGTGGCTATTTCATGATCTTGGCCACAAAATATCAAGATTTTTTTCATATTACACCACATGAATGAAATGGGAATTGATACCAAAAGAAGAAGAAGAATTGTCCTTTGTAAACTTAGGCCAAGAATCTTGAACCTTTTAGCACCAAATGCTTGTCCACAAATTGGTTCCATTCCCATGGCTAAACCAGAAAGAATCGAATAACCGGTTATATTTGCAAAACCGATCGCGAGCGAGCCACCAGCTAAAGAAAGTTCCCCTAAACGACCAAGAAATAGCATTGAGATCATTGAACGAGAGTAGAGAAGTAAACCTATGAAAATCATGGGAAGTGCAATAGTGGCTATGGATTTTGTTTCAGAAATAGCCAAAAACAGAGTATTTTGCTCTGTTTTGCTCTCTTCATTTTGGTTTTCCAATCTTGGAATTTCAGAAACCAATGGAGTCAACATCTTTGATTTTTGCTTTTTGCTTTTGAATTTCAGAATTTTTTCTTTTTTTGTATGAATTTTTAGACAAAAAAAATGTAACAGAAAGTTGTGGGCAAAGAAAAGGGATAGAGGGTTTAAGGAGTAACGGTTTGGTTTGGTTTTATAAGCGCGGGGAATATTGAAAAATTTAGTTTTTATTTTATTTTTTATATTATATCTTTGTTGACTTGTTGCAATTTATCAAGGAAATTCAAAAAAATTAAATATACGAAGAAACAAAAAGATTCACAGTATAAAAGGAGATACAGATGAACCCACTTCCGCCCCCTGACTCCGCCACGAAGCAAAACCTCTGAAAAATATAAAGATGAAGACGATGATTATGACTATAGAGGAATGCGTGAGATATATGTCACAAACCGGGTATATATAGGTACAAGGATTTTCTATTTTGTTAAGTTTTTTAACATGGTAATAGAACCATCTTTTAGTAAATCAAATTAATATTTTTCTGATTGTAGTAGCGTTGAATGAACGGTAAATTTAAAATCAAATCCGGTAATTTTAAAGGTGATTCCAATATTAGATTTTGAAGAATCGCGACTTTATGGTGACCTATTCAAAAGAAGCTGATCGCTATGATTTTGATTACCTAACAACTTGTTTGGATTGTTGTCACATGTCGTTTCATAATGTATCGTATTGTATTGCACTAAATCATTGTATTATATTGTTTAATGAATATAACGTTTGGATAGATTATATCGTTTATCGTCGTTTCATAATATCACACATCAACAATATGAAGAATAAACTTACAATATTATTAAGAAAAAATAGAATACATAGTATAATTATTATATAAAAAAATCAGGTAAAGAATAAGATATAATTATTTAATAATATAAAAAAATCAGGTAAAGAATAAGATATAATTATTTAATAATAGAAAAGGATAAGATGAGAGAAAAAGGTAAGGTAACTAGCACCCAACTAAGATCCACTTATGAAACCCAACATGTAGTTTATACATATGATATGATATCAATATATATTCACATTCAATGTTTACATTAACCTACAATAATTTATTATAGTAAAATTATAAATTAAAGTAAAAAATAAATAAATAATTATGGTTTAGTAGTAACAATGTATGTTAAGTTGAAGACAGAAGCGGAGCCAAGATTTGAAGCTTATGTATTCGAGACTCTAATTCGTTTAGTAACTGAATTCTAAATTAATAATTTGTTCCTTAAAGAAAAATATAAAATCCGAACCAAAGCTGCTAGATATTGAACCCGTAAACAACATGCCGGCTCCGCCCCCGGTTGAAGACATGTGTCAATCAATGTTATGTATTGTGGATTGGTGTTAACACCATTTAATTAATGAGATTTATAAATAACAACATTTAATGAGATTTATAAATGTTTTAACTCCCTAAAAATGTCAAGTCAAAAAGAGAAGAAACTAAATGTTTCCCCTTAAGACTGTAGTGCGTGTTAGTTGACTTTTCTTAATCTCCTAGTGCGTGTTAATTAATTATTTTTCTGTTAATCTCGGGGGATAAGTAATGTTTAGAGTCTAATTAAATTATGTATTGTGGAAGCATGGATAACGTTTATTAGGGTAAAGGACGAATATGGGTCTACTAAAACAAATAAAAAAATGTTGGGCGGTTAATTAGTGGCCTCATTAGATGAAAATTGATGGATTTGACTATGAAAAGGCATCACCTAAGGTTGTGTTACCTAAGGTGATTAGTACCCGTCGTCCTTAATTAGAATCTCGAGTTTTAGCTCTGAAAATAAAATCAATCTTTTGTAGGAAACACTTTAACTCTAAATTGAGACTTACGGGTGCAGACGTGAATTTGTCAATCTTTAAAACGGATACCAAATAACGGGTGAAAAGGAATTTTACTTTCAAGCATGTTTCATCCCATAACGTATCATCTAAGGTTGTGCTAGGGTGATAAATATCTGCCGTCTTTAATCAGAGGTCTCGAGTTTGAGCCCGAGAAATAAAGTCGTTTTTGGTGGGGAATACTTTACCTACAAATTAAGACTCATCGGCATGAGTTTGGATTAGTCAGACCTCAAAACGAATACCAAATAACGGATCAAAGAAAAAAAAAAACCGAAAGGCATTTCGCTTTCTAGCCTATTTCATCCCATAAGACTTCTTCTTTTTATCCATATGCCCAAAGGTGGATTCAAAATTTAAATTTTATGGGTTCAGATTCGCAATTTTACCAAATCTCATCTAATTTAATGAGTTCAAAATTTATTATTTATACATATTTAATAATTTTTTGGACAAAAATATAGGGTATGAGCTAAAGCTTTTGGTTCAATTAAATTGAACCCATAACTTCTACACTATGTATACCTCTGTATATATTACTACAAAACTTGCCTTTTTAGTGTTAAAATGTGTGAATATTGCCTTTGAGTATTTGTGGCTAATTGAAAGATTCAAGTGTTTGAAATTAGTTCAACTCTTTTTGTTATTTTAATGGTTGCTTTTGCTTCAAAATTTGAAACATGGTTTTTGCAAAAACTTGAAACATCCTGCATATGGCGATAACCAGGTGCGAGGATGCCTCAAACTTGAAGTGTGGTTTGACTTCTGAACTAGCGACTGTCAAGGCTTCTTCAAGCCAATTTAAAAGAGATAAAGAGCTTTTGGAGTGCTCAATGTCAGAACAATTATCAAAGGCTAGTGAAGAAGTCAGGGAGCTTAAGACACTTTTAGCCAAGAAAGAAGAGTATGCAGGAGAATTAGTGCAAAGCTTGACTTGAAGAATGATATTGCTATGTGGGAAAGAGAGTATGGACTTCTGGAGGAGAACTTCAACATAGAGGTAAGTTGGG